CTTCTTCAAATATTTGATAGAATTCACCAGTCTAATCCAATTTTTTCAGAAAATTTTTCATTATTAATTCAATCTCTCTACTTATTAAAAGTTTATATTTTCTTAGAACAGTTTTGGTAATTAGTATCTTTCTAGCAATTTGTGTCTTTTTAGGAATTTGCCCATTTCATCTCAGTTGCCTAAAGTGATAACATAAAGTTGTTAATGATATTCTTTTATAATACTTTCAAGTTTTGTATAGCTAGTAGTAATGTCACCTCTTTCACTCCTAATGTTGGTAATTTGTGCCTTCTTTTTTTTTCATGGTCGGCACAAATGACTTTGCTGATTTCTGCAAAGAACCAACTTTTAGTTTCATTAATTTTTCTCTAATATTTTCCTACTTTGTTGGCCTTTGGTATCTCCTTTATTATCTCCTTCCTCTACCTGCTTTTGGTTTGGTTTGCATTTCTTTCTCTAGTTTCTTAAAATGGAAGCTTAGGTAACAGATGTGAGACTTCTCTTTTTCTGATATGTAAATTAAGGGTACACATTTTCCTCGAAGTACTACTTTAGCAGCACACATAAAGTCTGGTCAGCTGTGTTTTCGTTTTCATTCAGTTAAAAATATTTAATATCTTCCTTGGGTTATGAAAAAGTGCTATTAAACTGCCAAATATTTGGGATTTTCTAAGATTTATTTCTGTTATTCTGCAGACATTGTATGGCGTTTTCTATGTGTTGGTTAGGTCAAATATATTCGTTGAAGACTCAGATTACCTTGCTGATTTTCTATCTAGTTAGTTGTTCAAATAACTGTTAAGAATGGGATGCTGAAATCTCCAATTACGATCACATAACTGCTATTTCTCCTTTTACAGTTCTTGCTTCATGCATTTTGGGACACTGTTGTTAGATGCATACACATTTACAATTGTTATGTCTTTCTTACATACTGACCTTTTTATTATTATGAAATGTCTCTACCTGTCTTTCATTAACAGCTGTCTTCAAGTCTATTTTGTCTGATATTATTAATATACTTACTCCAGCTCTATGACTTTCTACCTATTTGAGTCTTTAAAGTGTCAGGTAGGCATGGCTGTAAGCTAACACTCTGGGAGGCCAAGGTAAGCAGACTGCTTGAGCCCAGAAGTTCGAGACTAGCCTGAGCAACATAGCAAAATTTTGTCTATAGAAAAAATTAAAAAGATTAGCCAGGCATGGCAGCATGCGCCTGTAGTCCTAACTACTCAGTATGCTGAGGTGAAGGACTGCCCAAGAGTTCAAGGCTGCCATGAGTCAACTCAAAAAATAAAAACAAATAAGTAAATAAATCTAAGTGTCTATTAGAGATAACATAAAGTTGAGTGTTGCTTTTTTATCCAGTTTGTCAGTCTCTGCCTTTTAAGTAGAAATGTTTAGTCTATTCACATGTAACGCAATTATTGATACAGTTGGGCTTACATCTGCCATTTTTGTTACTCGTGTCACCTCTTTTTTTGTTCATCTAGTCTTCCTTTACTGCTTTCTTTTGTGATGTGATATATATCATTTTAATTCCTGTGATTTTTTTTTTTTTTTTTACTTTTTGGAATTATCTTCTTAGCAACCTAGCAACTGTGCTAGGAATTATAATACATATGTTTATTCCAATCTACATAATACTTAATTGCAGTAAAAATAGAAACTACACTCTAATATATGTCTTTTCCCACAACTGTCCTTTGTGCTATTGCTTTATATATATATATATAAAATAGATGTTATAAATCCAACAAAACAGTATCATAAACTCTTTTATATTCACTCACATATTTACTATTCCCAGTACTCTCCAATGCTTCCTATGGAGTCAAATCAACATCTGCTATCACTTCCTTTCAGTTAAAGATTTACTTCAGTATTTCTTATAAGACAGCCTGACAACAAAAATTCTCTCAGTCTTTATCTGGGAATACCTTTTTTCACCTTCACTTCATTTTAGAAGACTAGTTTTACTGGACACAGAATACTTGGCTGATAAACTTTTTTTTTTTTTTGCTCTTTCAGCACTTTGAGTATGTCATGCCTTCTGGTCCCCACTGTTTTTTTATAAAAAGCTAGCTGGTAAAGGTATTAGTAGTTCCCTATGTGTGATGACTCATTTTCTTCTTTCTGTCGCCCTCTGTATTTTTCTAGTTGGAGTTAATTGAGCTTCATGAATCTACAAAATGTTTTTCATCAAATCTAGAAAGTTTTTTGCCATTATTTCCTCAAATTTTTTTTTCTCTGCTCTTTCTTCTCTCCTGGGTCTCCCATTAAGTATATGTGTTTATACTTGTGTATGCTGTCTCACGGGCCTTCTGAGACTCTTTTAATTTTTCTTTAATCTTTTTTTCTCTCTGTTCTTCAGGGTTGATAACTTCTAATGACCTATCTTCAAATTCATTGATTCTTCCGTCATCTCAAATCTGCCACTGAGACCGCCTAATGAATTTTTATTTTTAGTTACTATCCTTTATAACTCTAGAATTTTTGTTTGCATCTTTTTTAGAATGCCTATCTCTTTGTAGAAATTATTTATTCACTGACTCCTTGAAGTTCGACTACCCTTTAATTCCTTAAACATGGTTACCTTTATTTCTTCTAAGATACTTACAAAAGTTGCTTTAACGTCTTTGCTAAATATAATGTAAGAGAGACAGTCAGATACAGTTTCTATTGAATTTTTAGCCCTGGGTATGTGCATATCTTTTGTTTCTTAGCATATCTTTACTTTTTTTGTTGAATGCTAGACATTTCAGACACTATGTTGTAGCAACTCTTCTCCCTTGGAGACCTGAGGGTTGTTATTGTCTTGTTTGTTGTTTCTTGACAGCCTAAAGGTCTGTTTCTTCTGCAATGTATGACCACTGATGTCTCTACAACATTATTCTTAGCCTGGCTTTTTAATATATATTTTAAGCAGGTCTCCAGGGCTCACCTTAATGTTCAGCTAAAGACTGATCAGAGATTGTGTTCAAACATCTCAAGACAATAAGGCTTCCACTCCCTACTGCTGGAATCTGTGTGTGGGCAGAGGACACTCAAGGTCCAGGTCTTTTACAAATATGCCTTGGGGTTTATTTCCATGAGCCCTCTTGACTCTTCTCTGCACCTGTTCTTAGGCTCCACTGGCCAGGAATGTGTGGGTGAGTTGGGTCCACTTTATTCTCTGCTGTGCATGTCTACAGCCTCCTATCAACCTAGGATTTGTGGGTAATTTATCAAGCCCCAGGACTATCTTACTTCCTTAAGTTGTCTATTAAATCCCACCAGTCCAAGAGTCTGTTGCTTGCTCCAAATTGGACTACAACCTCAGGCTAGCACAGCTGCTGGTCCTCCCTGTTCACAAGCCACCAAGGTCACTACTTTAACCTACAATATTCTCTATCAAATGATCTCTATCAGCAGCAGCAAAGCTGCTGGTTTTCCAGACTTGCTCCATCCTGATTTAAATGCCACACAACAGAATGAGGAAAGGAAGAAAGGAAAAGTAAGAGCACCAGATCACAAATCTGTGCTATTCTTACCCTGAAGTTTATGAGTTTTCATGAATAAACCTTCTCAATTTGTTTGGTTAACTTCCAGAGCACTAAAACAGTTGCTCTGATAGTTTTATTCAGTTGTATGATTGCTTTCTGGAGAGAGCAATCAAATCTTACTTAGTCATGCCAATCCTTCCTTTTGAATAGTGAATTGTGTACTGCTATAGTCCAGTTATGGTTCACCTACACCAAACTTTTAAAAATGATACTAAGCGGTCTGGGAACTATGATCTATTTCTTAAAAACTGACAAAAATGTTGATGCTTACCCTGGAGGAAAAAAATGACTTATTGCTAGCCTTTTAAATACTTTAAAGCAGACTTACTCACTATTGATCCAGAGGGCTAAGTCAAAACTAAGTGGTATAACTCTTGAGTTCAATATGTAAAAGAATATATTTAACAATTCAAACTAAAACAACTGAAATGATTCTCTTGTAATGAGTTCTCCTCACTAAGAATGACCATAACAGAGATTAGATGATCATCTCTTAAAGAAGCATTTATTATAGGAAATGGACCACACAACCTTTCAGCTCCAAGTTTCTGTGGTTTTATAAAAACAAATAGATAAGAATTTAGAGGAATAAAAGATAAAACTATCAGGAAAAATAATTCAAAATATACATAAATATACTTTGATTATTCATAAAAAATTTTTAAAGGGTCAGAGAAACTATTTCTAAAATCCATGGATCCTATTGTACTATCAGGTTCCAAAGGGCAACAGTATGCTGGAGAACATAAAGGCTATCAGAAACCAAAAACATGATTCCAGCATTTTACGGAGCTATGACCAATTGCTCTAGTTGCTATAATTTAAAAAACAAGCAAGCTGAAGGGAGAACAAAAGATAACCAAAATGAACAAGATACAGAGATTATTACAAAAAATCAGACTTCATTCTGGAAAGGCCAAAGCTAACTAAGCACATAACAAATATTTATAAAAGACATGAAAGATACAAACAAGGTAAACTCAGACTTGTTCATCAAAATGTAGACTGCAACCCCTTAGTCTCTGAAAGAGAAATGGTTAGGACAAATTTTAAAGGTACTATTAAAGCCAGGTATGGTGGCTCACACCTGTAATCCCAGCATTTTGGGAGGTGCAAACAAGAGGAATGGCTGAGCCTGGGTTTTGGGACTAGCCTGGGTAACTTGGCAAAACCTTGTCTCTTCAACACTCAAAAATTAGTCAGGCGTGGCAGTACACACCTGTAGTTCCAGCTACCTGGAGGCTGAGACGGAAGAATCGCCTGAGCCCAGGAGGTCATGGTTGCAGTAGCTGTGAGCAAGCCACTGTATGCCAGCCTAGGAGACAGAGTGAGACACCAACTCAAAACAAAACAAAACAAAACAAAAACAATAAAAATGCAATATATATTATACTCAGGAAATAGTAATTTACTAGGACCAAAATAGGTTTTAAACTGAAAAGATAAATAACTTACCTCTTTTAGTTGATCAGCACTCCCCCATGATGCCGAACGCTGATGTGACCTCTTTTCTCCTCCCTCTTCTGCCCAGCAGCTAGGTGTCTTTAGGAAAAAAAAAAAAAGGAACATAAAAAATAAGGAATTTTTGTGTCTACTCCCTAATCACAAGCAACTAAAACATATTTCAAGTTCTTAGCACATACCAGTTAGGGAGCTATACTAAAATCCTTTAAACACCAAAACTGACATGATCTCGTGAAATGTTTAAAACATTCTGTCATATTCTGAATTACATATGATCAATATAAGACATCTGAGTCATCTTGCTTAAAACACTTGATATCTTCACAGTAACAACATAACTTAAAGTTATAAAATTCAAAGAGTGCTGTGAAGATTTGTATATCAGTGTTTTTAAAGAGACTGGGCAAACTAAATATGAAATGGACTTTCTACTACATTCAGTGGACACAGGTTAACAGAGCCAGCTCAAAAGCAGTGATATGAAAGATGACCTGCATATCAAATGCCTACCTAGATATTTGAGGGCTGTCTATACTGATTTTCCTGTACTCGGGGAAGAGTATTAGCAACAGTATGTTTTCCGAAAAGTACCTGGCATCTTTATATAAATATACATAAAGTTATTCTAGAATTGAGACAGAAAAGGATTAAAAATAATAAACAGCTAAATACACTGAATATGAACTACAGTAAGGCATCTTTTAAAAAAGAAACTGAACTACATGTCAGAAAACAGAATTATTTTTACCTAAAACATCATTTCAGTTACTTAACCATTAATAGATACTACTAACGTAATGCAAAACACTGAATCCCAAGTATACCATAAAGTAATAGGAACATTCAATAGTTGTATTAAATATCAAACAATATTTAAATATACCACCTTTAATATATGAGATGGCTTGTGTAATATAAATTAGAGTGGTCAAAACCACTATTTAAAGACAGAGGGTAATGATTATCACAATAAGTATATATGGCTTTAATAATTATTTGTTATTACATAATGAAAAAATGATCATTTATGTTAAGGCCATACTTGTCACTCACATAATATGTAAGCTCTTGAGAAGAAGTTATCAGTTTTACTTTATATAGTTCAAAAAGCTTATGGACAACTTTCTAAATGATTACCATGTCATAAAAGCAGCGATATTCAAAAATAAACCCAGTAACAACTGATAGCTAGTTGATTAAATATAGAAATAAACTGCTTAAACAGTTTACTACCTAAAGTGAAGCTATTTAGTCAATTTAGAGAGTAAACTTAGAGAGTAAATGCTTTTCATTCAACTTGCAAGTAGGATAAGAGGTAACAATATAGTAAATAAGCTGCTTGCAAAAAGTTATTAGTTAATAAAATTTCCTACCCAGTCCTAGATAAGATAAATAACTTGGCTCCCCAAATGATCATATATTTAATAATCTATTTATTCTACAATTATTCAATTATGACACTTTATTTCAGTAAGACTTTATTTTGAGAACTTGCACAACTAAAATACTTTCCACTGAGTATTAGTTAACTCTTAAAAAATCAAATGATTAAGATTCATAATCTTGAGAATGCAAAAGTATATTCACAAAGAAGGTGTCAGAGTTTTGGCATGTTTCATAATTATTAAAAATAGCACTTTTAACACTTATTATTTTCACTCTGTACAGCTTTATTTCAAAGGCAATTTTCATGTACTATATCTACAAACATATAGATGAGTTAATAGCCACAAAAATTTTGCAACTGCTTCAAAACGGATAAGTGCACCAATGCAAATGGAACTAAATCTGAGGTCGCTATCTCAGATTACTGTCTTTCTTCACATTGTCATTCTTTGCTTAAAAATGAACATGAAAACCTACTCAATTACTTTAGACTGTGATACTAGTTATACAAAAGAAATTAAGCTAAGTGTATATATAGTCACACGCCACATGATGATGTTTTCAGTCAACAACAAACCGCATATATGACAGTGGTCCCATAAGATTATGATCTAGCTAAAAAATGCCTATCGCGTGGCAACGCCTTGAGGATCCTGACCTTGTGTAGATCTAGGCTAATGAGTGTGTTTGTGTCTCAGTTTTTAACAAAAAATTTGAAAGGTTAAAAAAAAATTAATAGAAAAAAACTTACATAATAAGAAGATAAAGAAAATATTTTTGTGTAGCTATACAATGTGTTTGTGTTTTTCGGCTAAGTGTTATTACAAAACAGTAAAAAAGTTAGAAAAATTAAAAGTGTAGCATGTTTACCACAGCATTCACAATAGCAAAAACCATGGAACCAACTGTGCTGCCCATCAAAACTGAACTGGATTAAAAAAATGTGGTATATATACATGATGGAATACTATGCAGCCATAAAGAAGGACAAACATACGGACTTCACAGCAACCTGAGTTGATCATACTCAGTGATCTATCACAGAAACAAAGAACTGAATACCATATGTTCTCACTCATAAGTGGACCCTGAACATTTACCATAATACTATAAGAAAGAGATTGGCCATAGCAGGATACTACGGGGGGTGGGGCGGGGCATAAACATAACATCAATAAGGTTACCTGATTTCAAACCAGGCAAAGTAGGGACCAAAGGGAGGCCCAAACTTTACCTGTACGATGTCCACTTGTATAGCCTAATCCTGAAATGTACTCCCAAATCTTTAAAATAAAGTATATGTAATAAATAAAATAAATTGGGAAAAAAAGGAAAATTATAAGTATAGAAAGTGAAAAAGCTACAGTAAGCTAAGGCTATTATTGAAGAAAAAAATTTACATAACTGCAGTGTAGCCTAAATGTACAGGGCACACGAAGTCTACAGTCATGAAGAGGATGTCCTGGGCCTTCAGTTCCCTTGCCATCACTCACTACCTCACCCAGAGAGAGTACCCTGCAGGCCTGCAGGCTCCATTCATTGTAAGTATCCTAGATAGGCAGACTATTGTTAATCTTTATACTGCATTTTTACTATACTTTTTCTACATTTAGACATATTTTATTTAGATAACAAATACCATTCAATATGTTAACATGCTGTAACCTAGGAGCAATAGGTTAGTCTAGATGTGTGGTAGGTTATACTAACCAGGTGTATATAAGTACACGCTATGATGCTCACATAACTACAAAATCACCTAGCGATACATTTCTCATCCCCAATGTTAAGCAATGCATGACTGTATTTGTAAAAGTGAACAACCACTGGAAGAGTACTGTCAATCATGTGGCTACAGCATTACATGCATATAAACTAAGTATATCCATCATAGTCTCAACTTTCCAAAAATACTACCCAAAGAGTAATTTAATTTTAATCACATCAATTTATAATAAATAGGATGAAAAATGTTCTGGTCTACAACCTCTATGGAAAGCAGTGTGGTGATTCCTAAAAGAACTAAAAATTGACCTTCCATACAATCCAGCAATCCCTTTCCTGGGAACATACCTGGAGGAACATAAATCATTCTTCAAAAAAGACCCGTGCACATGCATGTTTACTGCAGCACTATTCACAATAGCAAAAACATGGAACCAATCCTACTGCCCATCCTGGGTAGACTGAATCAAGAAAATGTGGTACATACACACAACAAAGTATTACACAGCCATAAAGAACAAAGTCATAGACTTCACAGCAAATTGGATGGAGTCGGAGACCATTATACTTAGTGATCTATCACAGAAACAAAGAACAGAATACCGCATGTTCTTACTCATAAGTGGGCCCTGAACACTAGTCACATTAGCACAAGGGAGGGATTGGCAGTCACTGGGCCCTGCTAGGAGAGGGAGGGGTACCTGGTTCCAAACCAGGGGAAGCGAGGGTCAGTTGGAGGCCCAGACTTCACCTGCATGCAGCCTAATTGTGTAGTTAATCCTTACTTGAGTCCCATATCTCTATAATAAGATAAAATTTAATTTTGAAAAATGTTCTGGTCTAACCAACCATGCTACCCAAAGAAGCTGCACTGGACAAAAAAATGTAGTACATATAGACAATGGACTATTATGCAGACATAAAGGACAGACAAACGGACTTCACAGCAACTTGGATGGATTTAGAGTCTATAATACTCAGTGATCTATCACAGAAACAAAGAACAGAGTACCATGTGTTCTCACTCATAAGCGGACCTTGAACAATCATCATAATACTATAAGAAAGGGATAGGAAGTAGTGGGAAACTGCAAGGTTAGGAGGGGTGGGATTGGCAGTTGAGGGAAACTGCCAGAGTAGGGAGGCCCACGCCTCATCAACAAGGGCACCTGCACAATGAACATTTGTATACCTAACCCTGAATTGTAACCCACATCTTTAAAATTAAAAAAATAAAATAAAATAAAAATAAGGAAATAAAAGTTTTGGTTTACAATACATTCTACAGACTGCATTGTCCAATACAATGGCTACTAGGTATATGTGACTAGATTTAAATTAATGAAAATTTGGAAAAACTAAAAATGCAGTTCCTTAGTCACACTAGCACAGTTTAAATGTTCAGTGACATGTGGCCATTGGCTACTGGCTGCCATATAGGACAACACAGATATGGACCACTTCCATCACTGCAGATAGTTCAATTGGAGAGCAATGTTCTATTTGACCCTTTTTATTTTTTTTTTGAGTCTGAGTCTCACTATGTCACCAAGGTTGCAGTGCAGTGGCACAATCACGGCTGCTACAGCCTCAACCTGCTGGGCTCTGGCGATCCTTCCGGGTTGCTAAGACTATAAGTACACGCCACCATGCCTGGCTAATTTTTTTACTTATTGTAGTGAAGAGATCTTGATGTGTTGCCCAGGTTGGGCTCATGGAATCCTCTCGCCTCGGCCTTCCGAAGTCGGCCTCCCGATGTGCTGGGAATACAGGCATGAGCCACTGTGCCCAGCCTTATCCCTGATTTTTAAACAGGTTATTTTAGTCAAAGAAAAAACCAAAACCAAAAGATGGCTCTTTATCAAGTCTATTCAAAGTTGACACTTGAGAAGTCACAGAAGGTAAACTAATTTGAACCTAATTTACTAAACCTGCATATCTGAGCAATGTTTTACCCACTGAATTAA